AGCTTCCTCTGCCGTGGTTGTCCTTCCTCTGCAGACATGCTGCTTTCCTGCTGGGCAGAGGGCCGAGGGCCTGTTCGTAGACCAAAGCAGCAATGGCAGCTGGAACAACACGGAGGACGAGGAAGTGGAGGAGGCCTCTGCCGACTCCTTGACATCATCCGAGGGCGAGGAACAGCCCTTCGAAGTCCACACCATCTGCTCAGCAGTCATCCGCCTGCCCATGATCAACACCGTCCTGCAGCCACCACAGCCAGGTCAGTGCCGAGATCCCAAGGCAACGTCCGGTAGGAACTGGGCAGGCGGAAAGGTCCTCGTCGGGATCCCAAGGCAACCTCCGGTCATGGAGAACAAGCTCAAGAAAGCAGCAATGCCACCCCTGATGGAGAAGACTCCAGCAGCGGCCAAGAGCCAAGCCTTCAGGAGGAAGAGGAGGAAGAATCGTGTCTCCAAAAGGAAAACACTCTCTCTGATGAAGGAGAAGAAAGCAGCCCGGACGCTCAGCGCCATCCTTTTGGCCTTCATCATCACCTGGACTCCCTACAACATCATGGTGCTGGTGTCGACTTTCTGCCAGGGATGCATCCCCAAAGGCCTTTGGAAACTGGGGTACTGGCTTTGCTATGTCAACAGCACCATCAACCCCATGTGCTACGCCCTCTGCAATAGGTCATTCCGGACCACCTTCCGGATGCTGCTGCAGTGTCGTGGGGTTCGGCGGCGCTAGAGGGAGAAGGGAGCAACTCCCAGGTGGCACCGGTCCATTGAGCAAGGGGCAAGAAGACCCCGAGGTGGTGCATAAAATAAGGAAGGGCAAACAGAGAGTGGGATGGAACAGAGATCCTTCCCAGTTTTAGGGCTAGGTATTTATATTTTGGAAGGATAACTATGATATGCCTGGGTATGTTTACAGAATTCAGCACTGCAGAGGCACAGAGGTGGTCTCCCCCTTAATGGATGCTTAAATATATATATACTTTTAAGCTCAGAAGACATTTTGCTCCTAAGAACATAAGAACCACTGGGACACTCCATCCTAGACCAGGACATAAAGGCTTCAACCACCTAGACCCCCCAGAATCTGGTATTCAGAAGTAGGCTGCCTGTGAAAAACTTTGTTCCAGAAAATAAAGTGTTCCTCTGTCAACTTCTAGGCCACCACAAATTCTTTGCAAAGGAAATAAAGGAAGCAGAGTAAGTTGTAGTGAAGGTGCAGATTGAATCAGTGTCCCTTCGTTATTCGGATTTTGGAATTTATAGGCTTATTGGCAGAGACTTTATGAGAGAGAGAGAGAGAAAACCATAGGTGTATCCAACTAAGTTCTCAGATCAGACCCACTGGAATGAATGGATCTAAGCTACACTAACACTAGCTACAACCCTATGCACATAATTCATGTTTGCCTTGCTCATTGTTTCTGTTGTTACAAGGACAATAAAAACGAGTGCTTTACAAATCCTATGTAGAATGGTGGAAGGTGTTGGGTGGAAAAGAGAAGGGGAGACACAATAGTCTTCAGCAAGTCCGTGTTGTGCAGAAGATGGAACAGACTTACTGTTGTTTGCCTCTCCAGAAGGCAGAACTGGGAGCAATGGGTGGAAATTGCAGGGAAGCTGTTTTGGACTAAAGATTAGGAGAAACTTTGTAATGGAAAGAGGTATGCAGCAGAGGAACAGAGCAGGCTGCCCAGGAAGATGGCAGGTTCTGCTTTGCTGAGGGCATCTGAGCAGAGCCTGGAGAGTTATATTTCAGGGGGTGTTTTAGCTGCATCCAACAACAGTGTAGTATAGTGGTTAGGGTGCTGGACTAAGACCTGAGAGACCAGGGTGCAAATCCCCACTCATTCATTTCAGTGCACTGATTGACCTTGGACCAGGTACTCACTCTCATCCTAACCTACCTCACAGGGTTGTTGTGAGGATTAAAATGGGGGGGGGGTTGTGTATGCCGCCTTGAGCTCTGTGAAGGAGAGGTGGGGTATAAATGTAATGTAATGAAATGAGTAAGTTATAGATCCTGCTCAGAGCAGGTAGTTGGGCTAGATAAACGTCTAACGCCATTTCCAGCTTTTAACGATTCTATGAACTTGCTTCACCTTTTCAAAACAGAACCAAAAAAAAGCATGCAATCTTAATGTCGCCCATGATTACAAATAAGGCCGTGGCCCAATGAAAGAAGTGTGAGTTACTTAATCCACTGAGCATCCATTAAACCTGCATAAATGTACAATTTTGAAGGGAACGCGAGCTTCTTGGGCTTCAGATAATGCAGGGATCTCCAACGTGGCACCCGTGGGCGCAAGGGTAACTTTGAGGTCTTCTCCTGATGCTTGGGGTGCCTCTGCCCTCTCCCCCTCCCAGTATCCCCTTAGTCAAGAGGTGGGGAAGCTCCCATGGAAAGTACGTAGAGCTGAAGGAGGAAGTTGGAAAAGTGACATTCGTTCCCACTTCCTCTTTCAGCTCTATGTACTTTTCAAGGCTCAGATTAATTCTATTGTGTCTAACCTTCACCCAGATGACTGGGAAATAAAGGAGTGTGTGGTGCACTCTTTCCTTCTGCGTCTCAGGAACGGGCTGATCCAGGAAGCAGGGAGAATGGACCATTGGAGGTGGCACCCGTGGCACTCCCTGAAAAATCCAAATGTGCTGATGGGCCTAAAAGTGTTGGCAAATCTTGAGATTATGTATGTACATTTTGCAACACATACTGTCCCAGGAAATGCCTTCCCTCCTGCGCCAGAATGATGGGGAAGGCCTGGCTTTATTACGGTGTCTGCCTTCTGCACTGTATTTAGGCTGTGGCTTAAACCACTCTGCTGCTTGGGCTTCCCAATCGAAATGCCGGCGGTTTGAATCCCCACGGCGGGGTGAGCTCCCGTTGCTCGGTCCCAGCTCCTGCCAACCTTGCAGTTGCAAGTATATAAATAGGTATTTATATACCTATTTATATACACAGTCTTTTTATATACACAGTGCAAGTATATAAATAGGTACCACTCAGGAAGAAAGGTAAACGGAGTTTCCGTGCACTGCTCTGGTTTTGCCAGACGCGGCTTAGTCATGCTGGCCACATGACCTGGGAAAACGGTCTGTGGAAGCAAACACCGGTTCCCTCGGCCTGTAAAGCGAGATGAGCGCTGCAACCCCAGAATCGTTTGCAACCGGACTCAATTGTAAGGGGTCCCCTTTACCCCCTTTAATATTAAAAATAAAATGTATTTTTTGTTAAAGATGGTCCTGCCAAATTAATCCGGGATGCCTTTAAATGATGGTCCAACTCTGGCAAAGCTAGAGAAGAGCAGTTTAGCTACTCCTGGATTAAGGAGACAGTGTTTGGACAACACAGTGGGGGAAAGGCTTACACTGCCCCTTGGTGGCTGCAGGAAAGCCTTGCAACATTTAGGAAACACACAGGATTTTGCAGAGGGGAACCCCAAGCTGTAGGCCCTGCTCATTTTCCCTGCAAGGCACATCAGCACAGGTTCCCTTCCCTTGAAGTTTCTATTTTTAAAGCTGAAATAGCACAGGCACCCATGGCAAATGGAAAGGGCTGTAGTGTTGCTGCCTGCAAGCTAAATGTCCCAGGCTCAATTCCTGGACAGATTTTCACCCACATTTGTGGGAACTTCTAGATCAGTGTTTCCCAAACTTTGGTCTCCAGCTGCTTTGGGACTACAACTCCCATCTTCCCTAGCCAGCAGGACCAGTGGGTCATGGATGGTGGCAACTGCAGTCTTCGTAACATAGTTGCTCCATCCCCACGATCATTTTGGTTGCCCTTTTCTTAATCTTTCTCAACTGGTGAGGCAACCAGAACTGAGCACAGCATTCCAAATGAGGCTGCACCACTGATTCGTATAATGGCATTATGATGTCAACAGTTTTATTTTCAATTCCTTTCCTAAGGATCCCTAGCATGATATTTGCCTTTTTCGTGGCTGCCAAACACTGGGTGAACACCTTAATTGAGCTATTGTGCACCTAGGTCTCATTCCTGGTCTGTCACTGCCAGTTCAGACCCCATGGAAGTATATGTGAATTTCAGGAGGGGGTGCCCCAAAATTCATCACTTTACCCTTGTTTACACTGAACTGCATTGGTCATTTTACCACTCATTCACTCAGTGTGAGGAAGTCCTTTTGGAGCTCTGAAATCTCTTTAACAACTCTGAACAAGTTAGTGTCATTAGCAAAGTCAACTACCTCACTGCTCACTCCTAACTTTAGATCGATTATGAACAAGTTAAAAAAAGGACAAGTCCCAATATCAATCCTTGGGAGACTCCACTTTCTGGTCCTTTTCAACTCTACAATTCCGATTCAATACTTCTCTCCATTTGGAGAACTGCTCATTTATTCCTACCCTTTTGCTTCTTGAAAATTAACACCTCGCCACTTCCCTAATCACATAAAAACCCAGAAAAATCCCAGAGCGCCAGATGATGGTTGGACAGAGAAACCAGAGAGCGCTTTCTGTGTAAAAATGATTTATTCGCTAATACTTATTACAATACCTTAAAATAAAACAAAAAAAGTAAAACACACTTTAGCTTCAGCTGCAATTTAAAAAAAAAAAATGTGGGGGGCGGTGAAGAGCCTCGGCATACCATAACCAATTCCAAACCTAAAAAATAAAATTATCTGCATAATTAATTGCCTTGGGAGAGGGAGAAACATAGCCACCAATTCATTGTAAAACTGGTAATGGCTGGGCAGGAGGGCGTCTAGGTGCAAGGAGCTGCAGAATCAGCTTGCAGCAAAAAGGGGGGGGGATGAGGTATTCTGACCAGCTTCTGAGTGCTCAAGGAATAGAAAGGGTGTGGGTGTGAAAACCCAAGGCCCACCCCTCCCCAAGATGCAAAGCACTGAAGCAAAGCCCACTTTGAAACGAAAAAGAAAAAAACATGGACCATGTTTTTATATACCCTTCCCAATTCCCCTTCCCTCAAACCAACAGATCTAACCTGAGCATAAAATCTCCATAATGCAACACTGCTTTTTAAAAAAAAAAAATCCCCTGCAAAAAAGCTATTTTCAACCCACCCCCACAGACAAAAGACTGCAATAAAATAATTAGTCCAAACAAGCCATTTTGGTGTTTATTCGGGTTGTGAGTTTTAAGACACGGGTGTGATGCTTTGAACGAGGACATGCCCCCATCTGGGGTTGGGACAGCAACTCCCCCCAACGCAAGGTTTGCCCACCCCACCCCCCCTTCATCAACAGGCCGCCTCTACCTGTTCCCTCCTACCCAATCCCAACCAGCTATGGGAGAGAAATCAAGTGCAAGGTTAAAGAAACCAAAATGGCTTCCCTGTGTGGGGTTGCGGCCCCCAAGGGGATCCAGGGCTGTAAGTGCACAATGACTCCACCTCTCTTGACATCCCTTATAGACTCAATGGGGAGTCTGTGGACCTTTTTAATCCTGAAAGCCTCTAGTCCACAGGGCATAGCAAATGAGGGCAGGGGTGGGTGGGTGAAAGCTTCCGTTTTGGTTCCCAAAGTGCCTCTTTCCCCTTCCAAATACAGCCCCACTAAGACCCACCTTAGCTAGCAGGGCAGTGAGAACAAAGGCAAGGATGGCACCCTTCCTGCAGTCTGGCTGGAGGTGTGGAGTCTGACTCCCAGCAGCTCCGGCAGCCAGCAAGCCCAATGGGTCAAGAGATGATGATGGGTGCCATAGCCCAACAATATCTTTGGGGGGGGGATCAGTTCCCCACCTCTGCCTTAGGGAAAGGTGAGGCAAGAGGCTGCAGTGCCCACTCACAGAATGGAAGTTAACTCGGTGAGGCAAGCTATTCTAAAAAGAACCAGCCCCCTTTGCTTTGCCAGTCCCCCTGAGTCTTCAGGTATTGCCTCTGCAAAGATGCATGCAGAGAAGGGCTGGACACATTTTGGGGGAGTGCAAGAGGATGTATGACTGGGGCAAGGGGCTTTGGAGGTAGGTATGAAGTCAATTTTTAGAAAAAACAGGCACATCATTAGTATATTACACAGAACCCTATTCCAGAGAAAAACACCTCTCCTCCCCAAATGGGGTGCCATACAAAGGGGGTCAGGGGGAAGACAGGTGGGAATTTCCAAGGAAGGCTTTCAAAATGTCACTTCTTATTAAGGACCGGTTCCTCCAGAGAGTGGGGGTGGGGAGGTGAAGAAGGCAACCAAGGGGGAAGGCAGGATGGATGCAGAAGAGAGCTTCCGTTCTTGGAAAGGGAGGAGGCTTCCGCATGCCAGCTTGTTTACTTCTCCTTGGAGAGCAGCCCAAAGGTATAAGGGCTCGCCCTCCACCTGCAGACGCGCACACAGAGAAGGTGGGAAATCAGGACTCAGCAAATAGGCATCAAGTGAGGCTAGGGAAAGAAAAAAAGAAGTGGCCCGCACAGGCAACCCCAGAGATCTGTGGCCAATGTCCCCAGAGAGGCACGCAGCACAGGGGGGAGACCAGGGTCAACTTCTGCCAACAAGCCCTGCTCCAGGGAAGAAAGAGCTGCCAGCCCTCCATTCATCCACCTCCGAGCAACTCGCATATTCTGTAGAGGCCCATATGGTGGGAGGAAGATACGAGGGGAAATGTAAAATGGTGCCAGGACTGGAAACATTCCCCCGAGAATTAAAAACACACTAAAACCCACCATGGGACAGAAATGCTGCTGGGGGGGGCTGTAGTCAACACCCCATGGGTTAAGGGCTTGCTAAAGAGAGGTGGGGGAAAGTGCTGGAACCCTCTCTCTGCTCCCCCGATCCCAATCCCCCACCCCGACACAACCCCTGGTTAAAAATATATATATAGCCTTGTGTGTGTGTGAAAACAAGGAAGGAGGCAATGGTGCTTTGTGTTAACAACAGGAGGGTTCTTTGGGTCAGGATCCAGCCTCCATCAGGACAAGGGGAAGCCTCAAACGCTCTTCCCTGACTGAGGTAAATAAAGTCACTTTGTTTTCACACCTGCCTGAGCCAAGTCCTGGTCCACACTGTTGAAGGCCAAAGGTAGGTTTTCCACTGGACAATGCCTTCCCAGAGTTCTCTCGGGTCTAGGAGGCTGCTCCAGACCAGAACCGGATCCATTTGTAATTATATAGGGGACAAAACCACTTTCTTATGGAGAGGGAGGAACAGGTGGTCAAGGGCTGGGAGGGAGCCTATAAGCCCTGTGGGTAGTATCAAGAGTGCTCGTGGTGGTTTTGTGTTTTAAAAAAAAGTTTTAAAAATTGCTGGCTCTGCTTTCGGAGACATAGAAGCCTGCAGATCAGCTGTTGATTCAATAGCACAATGTTAGTGAGATGAGAAGGAGTCGCCTCCTCCCAGCAAGCCCAGTTCGGTCGGAATATATTTCTATATATATATATATTTGTCCTTGAGTATTAAGGCCGTAGATATGATGATCTGTTTGGTGCTTCTCAGCCAGCCTGGAGGCAAGTGAGGAAAGGGCATGGAGAATCCTCCCTCGCAGGAGAGCAGGGAGAGAGAGAAAGAAGGAAAAGTTCTAAACCCAAAAACCGCTGCGCAGAGGACAACGGAGAGAGCTGGCAGGGGCTGGATCCGACTGGTGAAGGAGACACTGACCAAGAGTGGGAGGCAGCATAGGAAAAAGACTAAACCAAGAAAGGGAAAAAGAGCCCTGCAAGGTAGTGGACAACTGGCGGTTCCTCTTTCAAGCTCCCTTTCTTCTCTGCTGCCCCAGCACCCATCAGGAGGAATTCTGGTTCTGATAGATGGAGGCTTTCTCCTTCAGCAAATCCAGACACAGGTGACAGCTCCAGCTTCCTGCAACAGAAAAGAGGGCAGGGGGAGGGATAAGACCCCTATTGCAGTAGTGGGAGAACCAGTGGCTCTCTGGGGACGTTGGACATGAACTCCCAACAACCCCAACCAGCATGGCCAATAATTATGATGAACTGCAGTTGTAGCCCAGCAACATCTGGGAGGTGCCAGGTTACCCATCTTTGAGCTGCTGTTAAATTTGGGTGAGGGATGCTGCACAAGCAAGTCCTGTTCACTCCAAAAGTGATACCCTTTGTTCAAAGGTTCACTCAGTGATTCTCTGAGAAGTGCCCCTCTCCCTGATCATAAACTACAAGACAGGACATACTGAGAAAGGGTCTCCATTAAGTACTTGGTTATTTTAGCATAATATTGAATTTATTCTATGCTTATTGAATTGCTGATTTTGCCCTTTTTAAACCCCAGAGCCTGGGACTTGCTGATCAGAAGGTCGGCGGTTCGAATCCCCGCGACAGGGTGAGCTCCCATTGATCGGTCCCTGCTCCTGCCAACCTAGCAGTTCGAAAGCACGTCAAAGTGCAAGTAGATAAATAGGTACCGCTCTGGCGGGAAGGTAAACGGCGTTTTTGTGTGCTGCTCTGGTTTGCCAGAAGTGGCTTAGTCATGCTGGCCACATGACCCGGAAGCTGTATGCCGGCTCCCGTGGCCAATAAAGCGAGATGAGCGCCGCAGCCCCAGAGTCGGTCACAACTGGACCTAATGGTCAGGGGTCCCTTTACCTTTACCTTTGAAACACAAAGTTGTTTCAAATGTTGTATGTTCTGATAATAAGTTAATGTTTATTGTGAGCCACCAAGGTCAAAATGGAAAAGCGACTTATAAGCAAACTAAATTTAAGCACAGCAGACAGCAGACACAGAGTGTCATTTTGTCCACCTCCTTGTTTACAGGTATGTGACTTGTCCTCTCTGGAGTGTGTGGGATGCATTATAGCTACACTAGACACACACTGTACACCAGCAGAACTTGACGCCACAGCAGGGGTGTCAGGGATGAGAACCAAAATCTACCATGTATGAAATGTTTGCTCCATCCCAAAACTACAGCCCCTTCTACTGGTCTTACAGTAGACAGGCAGTCTGTGGGCCTTGACTGGAAGCCCTTTCCAACTAGGCCTCGGAAAAGCCTGAGCTGTGACCTGTGACTCAAAAGAAGTGATGTAAAGATTAAACAGGCGATTTAAGATTAACACAGGCTACCTTTGGCTGTGGGCCTGTTGCTGGAAGCATCTTTTCAAAATCCCAAGTCAGCACCTGCTCAGGAAATGAGTCAGCAAGCTGTCTGCTACAAGTCACCAGCGTTTTGCCATGTCATGCTACATGCAAACTTTCTTCTTTTATATAATTGGCACGCTAAGGCAGGTTTAAAATCCCAAAGAATTTTTTTAAAAAGATCCTATTTGATTTGTTAAGCAGAATGAGGCCCAGAAGGAACTTTTCTTCTTCTTCTTCTTTTACTCAATTTAAATTGCAGGCCAGTTAATTACAAAACAGGTGAGCAAGCTGTGGAGAGCAGCCTTTTATTCTATGCCCCCCAATAGGATGCTGCCTTATACTGAGTCAGGACCTTGATCCACCGAGCTCAGCAATGCCTACACTGATCGGCAGCAGCTTTCCAGGGTTTCAGGCAGGGGTCTCTCTCTCCCAGCCCTTCAAAGAGACACCAGAAATTGAACCAGGGCTTTTTGTCTACAAAGCAGTCACTGAACTATGGCCTCCAGGATTCCCTATGCAAAAACCAGGAGAAACTCAAAATCGCACAAAGGTGGGAAGATGCAAACGGGGAAGCAGAGAAGTACTCACCTTCCGGTGGTTCTGACATGGGTGGAGTGAGGCAGTACATATGGTAGCCACGGTCACAATCGTCACAGAAGAGCAGCTGGTCCTAAGCAGGATGGGGAGGAAGGAAAAGCCAGAAAAAAGGAGAATGCAAATTATTCCACTTCTCTTCAGAAAGGGAGAAAATCTGTCCTGCACCCCTAAAAATCAAGATGTTACAGTTTAATCCATCCAATTTATATCCCACTTTTGCTTCAAGGAGCTTAGAGAGGAATGCATTCCGCTGCCACACTTCAGCCTCACGACAACCATGGGGATCTAGAGATGTGGAACTATAGGCCTGGGGAATGGATGTGGCCCTCCAGATCATACTATCTGGCCCTCAGGACTCTCCCCCAGGCCAAGACCCTAATTGACTTTGCTTTGCACTATCCTTGTGATCTTTTTCCTGGCTGGGAGGTAGCCTTGACCTCTGATAAACACTCGTCACTTGCCTAGAAAGAGGATGGAACGAGGGGTGCGTGTAAAAGCAGTCTACTGTATAAAAATTTTTTAAAAGGTTAAAATTTGCGTTGTTTGCTCCAACCACTTTGGCCTATGACCCCGCCTGCCACCAGGCTTTTAATGAGTTGATTTTGTTCTGCTGGAAGTGTGCTTCCTGAAGCTGTAACTGGGGGGCGGCGGGGGGGGGAACAATGTCTATGAGAATGTTAGTTTTGCATGAATTGGTGTAATGCATTTAAATTTCCAGATGCAAATTGTTTAGAGACCTTTTAGGCATATAATATAAATCAAATAAATAAATCCTTGTTTTATGCATTTGTGGCAGCCTGCCTGGGGTCATGTGAAAAAGGGTGGGATAGAGGTTTTGGGTTGCCTCAAAGGTATCTGAGCAGCCCAGGAGAAGGAACAGCAATGAAGATGACAAGGAGAGAGAGGGAGAAGTTGACAGCGATGAAGAGGGACATTCAGGACGAAAGGACACAGGGAGAAGGGATTCAGTCATGCAAAGGGCAGGGGCAGGAGAGAGAAGGGGTACTCACATCGTTCTCAGAGGTGCCACAGATGTTACAGCACTTGCACTCAATACACTGCCAGCGGTAGGTCTTCACCGCCGCCATCATAACTGGTGTGAACTGCAGGCATGAAGGGTGCCCTGGTGGGGAGAGACAGTGGGGCAGGCATTAAGACAGGAAGGTTGTGTGGGCACCTCAGCAAGCGGATAAACAAACTTCAGCAAATTTGCCACTCACCTTTTCACCAAGGAAAACCAGGTTGGCAAACGTTTTGACAGGAAGAGGGAAAGCGCTACTGAATTTTATTCTCACAATGTTCGCATAAGAATATTGTAATTACGTTTGGATTGGCATACAAAGGATGAAGAGGTTAAGGCAGTTATTATGATACACTGGGCTAGAAATTTTGGATATAATATTCAAATGTCATATTGGAAAAAATTATGGAAGGAAGAAATTAAATTTACTGCATGCTACCTGTTGAAAGAAAATATGAAAATGATGTATCGCTGGTATTTGACGCCGAGTAAAATTGCAAAAATGTATAAAACGAGCTCAAATTTATGTTGGAAATGTAAGGGAATAGAGGGTACTTTTTACCATATGTGGTGGTTATGTGATAAAGACTTCTGGAAGATGATTTACAATGAGTTAAAGAAAATGTTTAAGGAATTTTTTTTTAAAAAAACCAGAAACATTTTTATTAGGTATTATGGGTAAATAGATACTGAGAGAAGATAAGTGATTATTTCTGTATGCAACAACAGCAGCAAGACTACTACTAGCCCAGAAATGGAAGCAAAAAGAAGTGCCATTGAAAGAGGAATGGCAGGCGAAACTGATGGACTATGCGGAGATGGCAAAATTGACAGGAAAGATCCAAAACCATAAAGATCAAGTATTCAAAAAGGACTGGAATAAATTCTTACTTTATTTAAAAGATCACTGTAAAATTTTAAAGTCACTGACAGGAATGTGAAGATACTTTAATGTGAAATTTTACTGCATTTTACTTGTGATTTATATACCGTATTTTTTGCTCTACAAGACTCACTTTTTCCCTCCTAAAAAGTAAGGGGAAATGTGTGTGCGTCTTATGGAGCGAGTGCAGGCTGTGCAGCTATCACAGAAGCCAGAACAGCAAGAGGGATTGCTGCTTTCACTGCGCAGCGATCCCTCTTGCTGTTCTGGCTTCTGAGATTCAGAATATTATTATTTTTTGTTTTCCTCCTCCAAAAACTAGCTGCATCTTGTGGTCTGGTGCATCTTATACAGCGAAAAATACAGTAATTACTTGGAAAACATAAAAGATGCAATTAATTATGGGACAAGGAGAGAACCCATGGAGGGAAGTCCGAGAGGTCAAAAGAACCTGATAAATAAGAGATGAAAAATGATTATTGTAAAGATGTTAAAAATGTGGAAAATCAGTAAAAAAATTATTATAAACAAAAACAAAAACCAACAGAACTGTTTTGTTTTGTTTGTTTTGTTTTAAAAAATATTGCAGCTTCAGGAGACAGCTGTAAGAACATGCCTCCTGAGCCTACTTCATTTTTCTTGTTTAGATTCTTTTTGAAAAGGTTGTTCTTGGGACCAAAACCAAGAAGCTTGGGAAGCTGCAGATGGCAAGGATCAGGAGTGAAATGCCAAGCAAACCCATAAAACTTTCGCAGGACACCCCAGCTCTTGGCAGGATCTGGCCCCACTGCTCCCCACAGTTCATATACCTGATCGTCCACAGTCAGAACATGAAACCAGCTCTTCAGGTTGCCCTGTTTTCTTATTGATCTTGGAGTCTCCAAGGCAGAAGTCGCAGTAATTGTTGGGCAAGGCCAAGCCATCCGGACCTTTCTTGGCTATTGGAAAAAGGTGTTTTAATCAATGACGAGTCAAAACAGAGCCCCGCCCCACCCCACACACACACTCCACCCAGACCTAGGGGGAGTTTATTATTTTTAAACTGCAGCCCAGCTTCTCTCAAAGGGAAGGGGTGACCACAAGAGAAAAGCTTCTTGTGTGCATTCTCAGCAGCACTGTCCCATTGCCACTACAGGATACAGGCTATAGCATCTCATCCTGCTGATCACCCTGTAGTCACAGCCTACTTAAAGAGAACAGCTGGCTCTTACCTATGGCTCGGACATACGTAGGTCCAGCCCAGGGCTAGGCAACCTAAGGCCCATGGGCCAGATGCAGCCCAATCACCTTCTCAATCCAGCCTGCGGACAGTCCGGGAATCAGCGTGTTTTTACATGAGTAGAATGTGTGCTTTTATTTAAAATGCATCTCTGGGTTATTTGTGGGGCATAGGAATTTGTTCATTTTTTCCTTCAAAATATAGTCCGGCCCACCACATGGTCCGAGGGATGGTGGACCGGCCCACAGCTGAAAAAGGCTGCTGACCCCTGATCCAGCCCTTCAGTCCTGGTTGTGATGGTTCCACATGCAGCTGCTCAAAGCACGACAGGCTTGGTCACTTGCTAGCACATGCCACCATTCTGGCTGAAACTGACTCCCTTAGTCCTTCAATTGGCTCATATAAATCCCGACATCACAACACGACAGTTAAGTGTGAGACTCGCCCTAGGTCTATCCCTTTTTCCAGGGCAAATCTTGAGATCCAATTTAAACTGGGGTAGAGGAGAACTGTTACATAAAGAGATCTTAAAGTTTAGAAAAGCTCCAGAAGGAGGAGGAAGACACTTACATTTCTGCTCCTCAGATCTCTGTGATACAGGCGTGGGGGGCTGCGAGTCTTCCTTGTCTTCCCCCTCTTCCTCAGCCAGGTGGGAGTGCGCATAGTGGTAACTCAGCCCAGGACGGTTCTTGTAACGCTTCCCACAGACTGAACAGGAAGAAAATTTTAAGGCCGACAAGACACAGGTTTGAGCTTCCCGTCCCCAGAGGAGCTGCTTTCCTCCCCCTTCCCTTCGCAACGAAATTATCCCATTTTCAGCCAATCTTTATCCCCTTCTCCCCCCCCACTCCAAAAAGCACACACTGCCCATCCCCTCAATGTGCTACTGCGTCAACCTGTTACAGAAACAGAAACTGCACAAATCTCAAAACAAGGGTGGGGAAAATATTTGCTGTTGCTCAGCACCAGAACCAGATTTCTAAACACAGTGGTAAGTTCATGTCGTAGCACCCTTTGCGACCTGCACTCAGAAATGCTCTCAAAGCATCTCCACACACCCCCAACCAAACAGTAATGAACAAAGGGGATAGTACACAATTGTGTATGTCTGGCACTCCAAGTAATCGAAGACTCTTAACACGAACAGCACATGTTTCTGGCCCTCATGAAAGAACAACCTGAAACTCTGTTTGTCTGGTTTCAGAAAGGGAAAAGCTAAGAGCAGATTTCTAGTGGCCAGCTTTTAGTTGCCCTGCACAGCTCTTCAGCCTTGCTGCAAGTCCACTCTTCCCCAATTGCCACTCCACCATTCCTCCACCTTCCACCCTCAAGTCCTTGGCAAAGAGAAAAGAGCAATTTGTTTGAAGATCTGGCTCTGATTCAGAATTGCATTATGGATATCTAAAGGAGAGCAGGGATTAATACCCGCAGCTCAACAGCCTAGGCTGAACCACCAAAACAGCGTGCTCCGGATTTGGAAGTAGCTAAGGCACAGAAACAAGGAAGTGAGCCATATCTAGTGAGGAACACTGCTTGGAAAAAAACCCGCTGGGGCTGGAGAACATACACAAACACACAATCTCCCATAAACACTCCAGGTCTAATCAAGTTCTGATTTCGGGGAGGGAGACAAATGTTTTCTAAAGCACATTAAGTCCAGCAAGTCTTTTGCACAGCGACTGGAAAGCCAATTTGCAGGGGAAAAGTAATGGCTCTCTTAAGGGCTGTGTAAACACAGCTGATTAAGTAGGGAGCCTATGCTGGCAGGCTCCCTCCGCAGAGGCAGTGGTTGCTACATGCAGCTTCCAAGGAGGCTCAACATAGCTTACCAAAAAAAAAAAAGCTCACTTTGGAGCAGATGCAGGAGGAGAAAAAACAACCCCCATCCTCCTTCCTTGGGCTGTGGTTCCAAAGTAGCTCCTCTCTCTCTCTCTCTCTCTCTCTCTCTCTCTCTCTCTCTCACACACACACACACACACACACACACACACACACAGTGCAATGGGAGCTTGTTCATGAAATACTGAGTTGTATCCAGTATCAGTCATGCTCAACAGTAGCTGAGCCATTAATTTCCAATTGCGTCTACTCCAAAGAGAACTTAGATGGATACAATCCATTGTGTGCTTCTGGGCAGAAGAAGAGCGCTTTTCTCTCATCAACAGTCCAGAGCCACGTATCTGGGATATTAAGGGTCGGGATACTTGAGACAGCCAACAATTCTCAGTTAAAAATAAATAAGTCCTATGTTCATTCCTGTAGCCCACTTGCTCATAGCACCAGAAAATGGAGGCAAGGCTGAATATACTCTGCAAATTTGCTTCATTCCGATGTTTTCCTTCGCAGAACCGACTCCCGGTTTTCGTTAATAGAAACAATAAAATTAAAATAAATTAGTTCCTCAGACTTGCACAGATGTAAGAAGGTAAGAACCTGGCGACAGGCCAAAGGCCCATTCAGGCCAACAGGGACCAGCCAGATCCCTTTAAGCAGGGCCTGACTGCACCCGTGTTCTCCTCGCAATTCCCAGCAAATGGGATTTAAAGGCATACACTGCCTCCAACAAAGGAGGGATAACATATTCATGTTGAGAATTTCCATTCCACCTTAAGGAGCAGACACGGGATTGTTACGTGTCACATGTCTGTTTACATTCCAGCACTGCATGCTGGGAACTTCCATTTGTGTATAGCTTTTGCTTTTCACTGTCTCTCTGAGAAGAAAGGGAGACGACATGTTTTCTTTGTCCTGATTTATGCTTAATAAATCTTTAGCTGTTAGTATGTTTCCACAAGCCCCACGCCTGTTCTGTTTGCGCAGTATGCTCTGCTAATATACCTTGCTCAGGCTTTTGAAGTCTGAGTCGCTGATTTACGTCGCACCAGAGATTGGGGGATCGTCACGGCTGGAAGGGCATGATCCAGCTAGGGGCTAGCCAGCTTGCATCTCAACCCCCGAAGGGCGCTGACAATTCATTGTGGCTAATAGCCACTAGTAGTCTGACCTTCCATGAATTTCTCTAATCCTCTTATAAAGTCATCTAAGTTGGTGGCCATCGCTGCCTCTGGTGGGAGCAAATTCCGTAAATCAACTATGCCCTTTGTGAAGGACTTCCTTTGTCTGGCCTTAAACTTCAAATGTTCGGCTTCATTGGATGCTCCTGAGTTTCAGCGCTATAAGAAAAAGAAATGTCTCTCTATAGGATTCAAATGAAGGGCTGGGCAGGATTGCCAGGGGACAGGGGTTACCCTTGTGGGTCTCTTTTCTGCTCAGAGTTGTGAGCAAACATTCCCAGAATAGCACAATCCTGCCGTTCCACAACTTCCTCAGCAAGCTCGGAGGGCTCTGCCACATGAGGGCTGTGCCTGAGGTTAGCAGTTTGAGCTGCCGCCCTGCCTTTGCCCAGCGCCCTTTCCTCCTCTGGTTGGCTAATTCCACGGGATGGGAGGGGTAAAATCAGGCTGCTCTGCTTGACAAATCAAAGGCAAGCAAATGTAAGAGCCTTCCCATCAGCCCCAGCAAGGATGACCAATGACCATGGATAATGGGGGGGGGTTAGTTCAGGAACATCAAACCAATAGATTTAAATGACAAGGAGATTCTGACTAAACATTAGGAAGAACTTTCTGGCAATAATGGCTGTTTGAGAGGGGAACAGACTCCCTTGGAAGGTGGTAAAAACCCCTTGGGTCCCTTCCCAATCTACAATTCTATGAGAACAGGTACAGGTCCCAGTATTATTATTATTATTATTATTATTATTATTATTATTATTATTATTATTATTATTATTATTTCTGTACTGCCTTTAATCTAAGGATCACAGGGATGGAAGGAGTAATAGTCAAACAGCGCCTAGAGACCCAAAGCTGAAGAAGAATGACATAGCCGGTCATGCAAGTTTTTGTGTATTTGCACTGTGTCAAAATACAACTAGCGGAAAAATGATGGTATGAAGCTGATTATTGGGTACGGGCTTCTTTAATACCACAAAAATTACTCTAGATTTATTTTGGGAGTTAAAAAAGCAATAAATCAAGGCAAAATATAAATATAAATTCATTCTCAGAAGCCTGCAACGATACTTGAGGTACATTTCCCCATGATGCTTAAATACTTTTAAAACCAGAATGAAACATTAAACTGAAACATAACTGGTTGAGGTTGTGGCCAAAGGTGGCCCTTGGTTCAAGTGGCTATAAGAAGGAGCAAGAGTCCAAAGGGCAGAGAAAACTGAAGACTCAGGGCTTGGCCTATCATTAACAGAGCTTCTAAAATTCCAAGGCCTTTTGGACCCTGGGACTGTGTTAATACATTATCTAGCTCTGGAAGGAACAACTTGGCTGCCTAGCACATCTAGCTAGGTAGGGTGGGGGATAATATTCAACAGCTATCCAGGATGGGAAGAATTCAGCCTATGTGCCAGGGATAGGGGAACCTGACAGGGCCTCCAGAAGTTGCTGGACTCCAACTCCCATCATCCCTGACCATGCTGGCTGGGGAAGATGGGAGTTGTAGTCCAGCACATATTGAGGACCAGAGGTTCCTCATCCCTTCTATACACCAAAGCCCTTGCAGATCAACCACAGAGTGCTGCAAGCAAAGACCACAAAAAGGTGGTCTGCAGTTCCAAAACTGCCGGGTGACTCGTGCAAGCAAGTCAAACTAGAAGTCACAGGAGAAAGCAAAAATACACAACAGTTTCACTAGCCAACATCCATTCCCCCAAGCAAAATCCAGCATCTTCTCAAGGAAACTAGATATTAGACACAACTCTGCAGCACTCAACCTCCTGCAGTGCAAAGTTGTAAATAGCCTGGTCACCCAGGGTAAATCAGAGCATGCCAAGTTTACAAAAAAGGCTCTTGTTTCTACCCACCTACCCTTTCAGGCCATAAATAAAAGCCATGGGCATGTGTGGGCATGTGTGAGTATTTGTGAGCTACTAATTTTTGTGGCCTTTAAGGGTTTACTCCTGGTGTGGCAGATCCTGTTGCCCTGGGAGCAACAGGAAGCAAGCACTCAAAGTCACATACTCAGTGGGGGGAAAACAAAACACCTCTCTTTCTGACCTCAGTGGGTCAGAACCAAAGGACAAAGTTCTGTGACTGCAGGAGTGAAGAGAAGGCCACTCTAGCCTCTGTCACTAGCCAGAGATCAAGGCCATGTGGAAGTCTCCCCCCACTTTTCCAAGAAGGGTATCAGACAAAGAGAAGATCCACCAGAGAAGAAGCAGTTTCAAGACATTTGCTTCCCTCCTCCAAACATCTGGAATGACTACAAGGGAATAGCCTAAGGGCTACTAGATAACTGCATCACTTCCTTTTCAGTAAAAATACCAGGCAGAGAACATCATCCCAGTCCCACAAGAATTTAAATGCCTGCTGGCAACTCACCACTTCATTCTAGGTCAGGCAAATCCATCTCCCTTCTACCCATTTCCCCTTGTGTCTCTTGTCCTTTCAGGCACAATCCTAACCCTCCTTTTCTAAGAGGAAGTCGTACTGAATTCAACTGGTCTTGCTTCTAAGTGGACATAGATAGGATTGTGCTATTAAATAAGCCTGAGTGCAAAGACAGATTTATTTTTGTTCATGTATGCCAGGGGTGAGCAGACAGGCTTGAGGAATATACTTGGTGGTGGTTTTACTAGGTCCACCAATCAGAGCACCTGCACAGTAGCTGGGCAGACGCACTCTCAAGATTTAAAGAACAGGGTGCCGCTTATGAGCACATGATGAGTCCAGGAATGTAGCGCTGCGAAGCTCACAAGTCCATTGATATAAAAATCTGCTCCCCGTTTCTTTTTCAGCAACCTAATTTGGGGCTGGAGGGGAGGGGAAAGCTGTTTCATTTGTTACTGCTAGACAGTAGGAAGTCAGAATCCCTTGCCAATCTACTGCAAAACATCCTTATGTACTTTCTTCCCAACTCAATGCATAGCACCTTACAATAACAATGCTTATTGAATTTTAATTGCTATGAGCCACTGAGGGAGATATGTATTTATCCAAATTTCCAGACAAAAAATTATCACCTTTCCCACAGCAACTTGGAGAGAATCGGGCCAAAAAGCTGGGTGCTAACCCTATTAAGCCACACACACTAAATGAAAACCTGAACTGCATTATCATATGAGGGAAGGGTTTTTTTTGTGCCCTGCATCAAAAGACCTGCTTTTTAAAAAAGAAGAGTTTTTAAAACTAACATTTCAGAAGAACAAAGTCAGGAGGAAATAAATAGCAAGACAGAGAGAATGGACTACCTCGGTCAGGAGGTTTCGAGGTATGCTTTTGTTTGTAACTATCTGAAATACAGAAAGAGAATAATGAGAGAAAAGGTGAAAACACTCTATAGGCCACACACATAACATGCACACAGTAAAGCTATATACAACGATTAAAAGGGAGAAAAGAAAAATGCTTACTGGTGTTATTTTAAAGTAAAAAGGGGGAGTATAAAATTCTTACAGGACAGTAAAAGGAGAAGAGAAAGAAAAGTAATTTCAAAAACTCATTGTTTGCAATTTTGAAAATTCTGGCCAATTGCCCCCCACCTTTTACGTTAATAACCAGGTTTGCACGGGCGTTCATTTCCAGATTGGCACACAGGGAGCAGCTCTAAAGAACAGAAAAGTCATGCAATATGGAACTGGCAAAGGCAGCCACACGCAGCAGGGCTGGTCACATAGCTTGGGTGTCTGCACACAAACACAGCCCCCAATGGACTGGTAAAGCGATACCAAGGTCTATACACGTCTTGGGATCTGCCAGAGGAAGGCAGGGCTGGAGCACTGTGGCTGAGCACCTGCTTTGCATCCATGAAGCCCTGGCTCAGTCCCCAATGTCTCCATTTTAGAGGACCAATGGTGGCAGGGCTAAGACCCTGCATGGACAAGACTGGGTTAGTCTGCCAAGTCTGTCCCAATGGAGATGAGAACATTGGTAAAGTTATCTCCTATTGGGCCAACTCGAGCTGGTGCAGAGGTATGTAATTTTGTGCACTTTCACAGAACTCTTCACCAGCCAGAATAAAGCGCTCTGTGAAACAGGAAAATTTGCACACCAGGCAAATAAAAGGCATCCTTTTATCAGCCTAAGATCTCATCGAAGCAACTGCCCATACCCACAGGAGACTCCAGATAGTGCCAGACCTCCAACGCTCCCAAACTAGACAAGTAATGTTATAGCCTCCAAGAAGCTCAATTAAAAAGCAAGGGACCAAGGACAAGTAGCTCACGCAGCCCCTCTTTCAAAGAAGTTTTGACCTCTGCATCCTCTGTTCCCCCACCCTCCCCACCACACCGTCCTCCTATCTAGGAAAAGCAAAGGTGTTCTGCTCACGGCAGCTGCGTCCCACAGCACGGCTCGCCTTCTTACTCACTGTCACAGGCATACGGTTTGTCTCGGTCTTCCAAAATGGCTGCATCCAGCTTTTTCCGGGCGCTCCCAACTCCTTTGCCCTAGGAAGCCAGACAGGAGGATGTCATGAGCAAGGGGGAAAATGCCTCACCCAACAACCCCTCACCGAAAGAACCTTGAGGGGACATAAAGTGGGAGCTGAAACAAATCAAGTAGCTGTTAAGGAGGCCTGCTTCAGTGCCACAGGGTGAGGCAAGGGGAATAAACAAATTCATGGCAAATGAGCTGTTATTCATAAAAGGATCTGAGTAATGCCAGTTGCTGGGGGTTGGAGGAGAGAGAGAGAGAGAGAGAGAGAGAGAGAGAGAGAGAGAGAGATATGCCTGGCCACACTGGGAGACATGATACAGGCTAGGTAGTCTATGCCAGCCTTCCCCAACCAAGCACCCTTCAGACCACATATCCTGGACTGAAACTCCCAATGGGTGTTGGGAGTTGTAGTCTACAACATATACGTTGGGAGAAGGCTGGATGTGATAGAAAATATAGTCCAGAATATCTGGAGGGCACCATGCTGCGGGAAGACCAATGAACATATAATCTAGCAAGGAATAACAACAACTACTAGTACTCCTGCTGGACAGTTCTTGTGGGTCCAAAGAATTCAAAAACACTTTCAAGCCCTTTATGAGACTATTAAATTAGCTGATTTATCCATGGGTAAGAACAGTATTTTAGTATGATCTGAAGACAGTGACCCCACCATTATTTAGGTCTATGAGACAGGGGATAATCACAGGTGCCATGCTGAACTCTTCCTCCACGCCCAACAGCGCAACTGTTAGATCCGTCATGAAGAAAAACATATGTGGTTCCCACCACGATGGCTAAATGTTTTCTCTAGATTGCAGCCATGATGTGCACCATGCATTTATGTGATGCACCATTATTTACATATAATGACCTTCAGAGGAGAAAAAAATCACATGTATTCTCCTTCTCAAGTAACATAGCCATCACCAAGATGTTTTAAGGGAACAGTTGCAATTGTCATTTGCAGGGCTGAAGTCTTAACTTTTAAAACTGTTTTGTTTGTATTTCAGTATGTTTTCACCACTAGAATAGGGCAGGACAGTTACTTCAGTAAATCAAAAAGCCAAGCAGAGGGAGTCATACTAATGAAGTGCTGCAGAGTCGATGAGCTCAGCTGGCAATATTTTAAAAGACAATCCACTACTGCCCCACAGTGGCACATGCTTTGAATGATTTTTTTTCAAATTTCTTCTTCCATTTCATTATTATTCATATGACAACTAATATCATGCCAAGCAATTATAGCCCCAGAATCCCCCCTTCCCCCGCAAGGATAAATCGTCCCTTTCCTTTAGTACTTACAATTACCTTGTGTTTATGGTGTTATATCAATTTCAACCTTTTAGCCTTGGGGCATGGGGGCAGGAGAGAGTGTCCATGCATCTTTTTCCCAGGGACAAGAAGGGTTTTAAAACTACAGAAAGGCAGACTGAGAAATACTTGGACAGGGATGGAGAAGCTGTGGCCTTCCAGATGTTGCTGGACTTCAGTTCCCATCAGCCACAGAAAGGATGGGATGATGGATACTGTAGTACAAAAACGTCTGGAAGACCACGTTTTCCCCATCCCATTCTCACTAGTCTCTACAAGCATAGAGTGTTCATTCCTTTCCAGCACCCAACATATTTTGGGACATCCGTAGAATTATCTTGCCTGCCACTGCCATAGAGCCCCAGTGCTCCTTTCCACTCCATGCAGACTCAAAGCGCACACTGACTCAAGACTGAGCAAGCATTACTGAGCCCCAGTATGTGAGCTGTACCTTGGCCTTGCCTTTGCCTCGGCGTTTTGGCGTGTCTTCTTCATAGTCCTCATCATCTAGATCATCCAAGAAATCGTCAGGTTCCAGGATCCGCTAGAACAGAGAAGCAAGACTACTGCAGAGAAAACAAAGAGGTTCAAAAGGACAAGGGGGGCGGACAGAAGACTTGGAAGTCTAGCTAAGAAGCACCCCCTCAAATGCATTCTAGTTAGACCAATGGCAATGACCACCTAATAGTTTCATTTTCACTGCAGAGCTTTCAGGTAACATTAAAAACTGTCTTAAGGACATAAGAGAAGCCCTGTTGGATCAGAGCAAAAGCCTATTCCCAGATGTGGGGAACCTCTGGCCCTCCAGATGTTGCTGAACTACAGCTCTCATCATCCCCACGAGTTATATTTCAGCAACATCTGGAGGGCCAAAGGTTCACCTGTGCCCTATGTAGTCCAGCACATTGTTTCAACCAGATACCTATGAGGAACTGAGAAGCTGGGCATGGACTCTTACTGTTGTTCCCCAGCACATGATACTCAAGAGGCATGGTACCTCTGAGCCTAGCCAGTGACTGAAAACCTGTGGTCCTTCAAATGTCACTGAACTACAACTCAGATGAGCCTCGAACAAGAAGGATTATGGGAGCTGTAGTCCAACAACAGCTGTAGGGCCACAGGTTCTCCCTTCATCATCTAGACATACAGCCATCATGACAAGTAGTTACTGACAGCCTCATCTTTTAGTAATTTGTTGAATCTCCTAAACTATCCATTTAGGGCCACCTACGCATCTTGCAGAGGCAGATTTCATAGGCTTTCTGTAAAGAAATACTTCCTGCTCTCTGTCCTGAATCTTCCAGTTGGTTAGAGCATGGAGCTGATAACACCAAGGTTGCAGGTTCGATCCCCGTATGCAGCCTCTGTATACTCCTGCACTGCAGGGGGTTGGACTAGATGATCCATCAGGGTCCCTTCCAACTCTACAATTCTGCGATTCTACCTTTCAGCTTTATCAGATGACCCTGGGTCATGGTATTAACAAGAGAAAGTCTTCTATATCTGCTTTCTTCACGTCATATATAATTTTATTTGTCGCTACATTTATATCCTACCTCTCTATCAGAGATTCTTTAGCTGTGATTCCTGCACTGCATGGGGTTGGACTAGATGATCCTTGGGGCTCCCTTCCAATTCTACAGTTCTTTGATTCTATGAAAACGCATGGGCTCAAAAAAGCGCATTTCATGCCCACATTTCAAAATCAGTAAGTGCTCTTTCTCTCTTTTCTCTATTGCTCTCTCACACACACATCCTGTCTTCCTGGATGCTGGAAGACAAGCTACAGCATTCCGTCTTCGGCTGCCTTACTAGGCTATTAGAGTTGATCCTGGGAAGCAGCCAGTGTGTATTATGACATTCAGTATCTCACCAAGCCAAAAAACTTGATGAAAACCAGAAAGTGTCATTGCACCATCACCTCCCTCCCTGTTCGCTTCACCCCCACCCCCATCCCAGCATGGCTTTTGCAAAATAGACTGGCTTTCATTTCACACTAAATTCCACTCTGGTTCAATTTTTTTTTAATTTTTAAAGGAAGCTCTTGCAATCCAAACCAATAGTTTGTAGTAAAAGGGTGGAATTGGGAACAAATAAAGCTGAAGAAACTGGAGCAGGGGAACAACAGAAGAGACCTTGGGCTGGGCTGAGAGAAGCATGCCTAGCACCACAGTGGAACAAAACACTGGTCCATGAAATGATTTTTCTGGCAATGAGGATCTTTGAGACAGAAGCAGTCTGACAAGCTGAAAGGACGCTAGCAGCAGGGGTACAGCTGTGCACTCCTCAGCTACTACACAGACGCAAAAAAGAGGCTCTCAGCTCTCTCCCCCTTCTGCATTTGAAGCAGGTTTTGAGCCCTTATGTCTGAGGGGAGAAGCTGGTGAAACAGCAAGGGGTGGTGGGATCAGCAGTACTTCCAGAAGTCATGGGCTAGGAGCCTAAAGCTCCACACAGCTCCTTATTCTGATGTAAACTGGATTTAAGTGCTCAAACTTCAGCAACTGTTTGTGCACTTGTTAAAAATCTGAACAATTTATTCACGCAGCAAACTTCTGTTTTTGTGGCTACAAAAACTAGGTCTCCGTGGTGCAAGATTTCTATCCATTCTGTAGTTAAAGGCAAGGACAGCAGAGGAGAGGTAGGAAGAAGCTGCGAGGAGCCATTCATATGTTACCATGGAGCCCCCTTTCGAAACAGAGTCAATGCTACCCTCTGCCTGCCATTACCTTCCGCGCGCGACTATTGGCAACAGGAAACTCGCCGAGGCTGTCTTCGTCAGTACGAGGATCGGGCAGACTGCGCTTCTCAAGAGAGTCCGTCCTCAAAAGGGCCTCCAGGCTGCTGCCATCCTGAGAGATCAAACCCTCTTTCTTTAGGGTCTGCTCAGTGTCTACAGAAGTAACATCCAGAGGGTTGGCTGTGTAATTTTTTGGTTATGTACTTAAATTTGTATCCTGCCCCTCCTCCCAGAGAAGCCCAGGGTGATAAACACCAAATGTTTAAACTATACTATTTAAAATAAAAGAAGAAAACTTTTAAAACAATTTTAAAACATCTAAAAACATTTTAAAGCAATCACATATGCTCACAGTCACTAATTTCAAGGTTGCCATGGTCAGTATCTGTCAGCCATCAAATGTTTGGGTAAACAGGAATGACTTAAATTTCTCCGGGAAGTCAGTAAGGAGCAAGACACTCTCAATCTCACCAGGTAGGGAATTCTCCAAACCAAGAGCCAACCAAGGGCCTCTGCTGGCCGTTGCTAAAACTGCCACCCACGTCACCAAAGGAGAAGGACTGGAGGCTCCAATACATGGTGGAAGGAAAGAACGCACTGGAGGAGGGATTGTGAACCTCAGTTAAGGAAGCAGAGCCCATTGCGGAACAAAGCCTTTGAAACACCTCCCCTGTGAGGAAAGGTTGCAACATTTCGGGCTCTTTAGTTGACCAACAAGGTGAGTAAGAGGCAACATGGTAGAAAAATATAAAATTATGCATGGCAGGGAGAAAGTGGATACAGAGGGGTTTTTTAAGGAAACTAAGAGAAAGAATAACAAGCACAAGGCAGAGAGATGAAAGAACACATTTGGGTGAAGGCAGGGCCTGAAACTGAAAGACAAATCAAAAGGGAGGATGCTACAGCAAACAATATAATCACATGCCACTGCTACCATCACCCCTTAGGCAAATGAGAGGACACAACTCACTAAGTGGATGGCTCACATAGAATTGGGCTTGCTTCAGGCTACGTGATTGGTGTGTCTTTTTCATGAAGAACAAAAGGTACAGTATTAAGGTTGTTACCAAGTGATCCCACTGGTCCGACTAGTCAGAACTGTGCACATGTGCATTGGAAAGGATGGGGCAGGGTGTGGAGTATTGGGCTCTGCTGCTCAAAGGCACTCTGTGCACTTTTGGAAAGTGGCCGCCAAATGCTCAGTCTCTCATCCCATCCCCAACAACCTCAGGCCAGCTTTTGGTGGGGTGGGCAGGGGTAGCAGCAACTACAATTTCTGGCTCGGCCAGCAAGGCCAGACAAAAACCATGATTCATGCATGTAAAGGCCCTCCTATTTCATCTGTCCCTGGCTACAAGATACATGGCCCAAGCAGAAAACTTAACAGCCAATACAAACAACTGTTATCACCTGTGGCCCTCCAGATGTGGAATCTTGGAACCAGCCACAGCAGAAGAAAGTGAAGGGAAAAAATTCCCAAGCTGGAGGGGCTCCATTGCTCTGCCTTCCAGCTTAGGAAAAATTCCTCTTCCCCTGTGTTTTGCCAAAATGTGAGCATTCCAGGAGAAACCTAAAATCCAATGTAAATGTGCTACAAAGTGTGAATCTCATGAAAAGTCAGCATGTCAGGAGTGTAATTGCAATTCTTATTCCTGACCCATTAAAAAAACTTTAAGGTTTGCCTTGATTTGGGATGTGGAACTTATGGCCCTTCAGGTGTTCCTGAACTGTAATTCCCATCACCCCTGACCACTGGCTATGCTGAATGCAGCTGAGAAATGTTGGAGTCCAGCAACAGAATGCAAGCCAAAACAGTTCATCAAGACATATCAAGACTTTAATAAGTTCTCATGTGGTAATAGAACAGTGGTGGGTACCCTGTGGTCCTCCAGTTGTCACTAAACTACAGCTTCCATCATCTGTGGCCATTGGCCATGTTGACTGGGGCTGATGAAAGGTTTAGTTCCACAAGTTCTGGTGGGCCACTTGTTAGCCACCCCTGCATTAGAGATGTGATGGGATAAATGGGGAAAGGGGTAGCCTTTGAATAATATAGGGCTCAAAGACTTCCAAGGATTACTAAAATCAAAACAGGAATTTACCTGGAAGGTTAGAGATGCTGATAATGATGCTCCTGAAAGCACAGTTGTGTCAGTGATGCAACTCACCCTGGCAGAAGAGGTTCTCTCTAATCAGTTTGCTATGATGTACAAACCCATCCCCAATCCCTAGGAAAAACTAATTTGATCCCAAGTGAAGTCCCAGCAGCAGCTCAGAGAGAAAGGAAAATATGTACCTGGTTTAATGGAAGGGAAGGAAAGCCTTGGATCCTCAGGAGGGTGAGCGCGACGTTTTTTCCGCCAGCGCCGAGCCGGGTAGGAATAGAGCTGGCCAGATGCCAAACCTTCCAATAAAAAAAGCAAACCAGGACAGAAAAGGAAGAAAAAGAGTAAGATTATCAGTTCAATGCAGCCTTTTCAGAGCTCTAGCCTTGAGTACTTCCCCAACAATCCTCACTTCAGGAATTAACACATCTACTCCTTACAATCCATCCTAGGTAAAGGTAAAGGGACCCCTGACCATTAGGTCCAGTCGCGGACGACTCTGGGGTTGTGACGCTCATCTTGCTTTATTGGCCAAAGAAGCCAGCGTACAGCTTCCGGGTCATGTGGCCAGCATGACGAAGCCGCTTCTGGTGAACCAGAGCAGCGCACAGAAACGCCGTTTATCTTCCCGCCGGAGCAGTACCTCTTTATCTACTTGTACTTTGACGTGCTTTCGAACTGCTAGGTTGGCAGGAGCAGGGACCGAGCAACGGGAGCTCACCCCGTTGCGGGGATTCGAACCGCCGACCTTCTGATCGGCAAGTGCTAGGCTCTGTGGTTTAAACCACAGCGCCACCCACGTCCATCCTAGTTTGCCACTAATCTGCACAGTTGATATGGACCAATAAATAAAGGACAATAAATGCAGTGTATGCAGATAGGCTCCCTTAAATGAGTAAAGATATTTCCATGAAGGAAAAAGAAGAGACCTACCTCTCCTCACCCACCCACTTCTCAGGTGAGCTGTCAAAGAACAGGTGCAGTGCCTCATCAAAAACAAGCAAATCTGCTGCCGGACCCCAAAGTGTTACAAACTGCAGCCCAAATAAGAAAACCACAGTGCCCCTAAACTTCAAGTTTTCACAACATCCTATGTGTATCCAACCTGGCCCCCTGTGCCGCTTCTCCATCCAGATGTAGCAGTTACTCTGCGCCACTCCAGTCTGCGAGTCCAGAAATGGCAATCGGACACTTCTCTCAGCACACAGTCGGGCATTGTAGTTGTGGCACTGCTCCATCGCGTCCTTATAATATTGTTCGCCAAGGCTGGTGGGAGGCAAAAGCAAGCATGCGTTAGAACATGGGTGTGCCAACTTCAGGCTTGATAAATCCACTTTGTTCTTAAAGGACCTCAGGATGCACAAACCAGCCATTTGCAAATAAGGAGCAAGGTGCCTCTTGAACATATGCTCAGCCCATAAATTTGCTGGGCGAATTTAAAAGAGGACAAAACTGATGAGAGGAACATAAGTAAAAACACTGTTTTCCAATGAAGCTGAATGTGGGAAGACTCAAGACAGATGCAAGACAGTACTTCTTTGCACAGCACTTAGCTAACCTATGGAATTTGCTCCCACAGCAGCTAGTGACTGCCACTAATACGGATGACTTTACAAAATTAGACCAATTTATGGAATATAAGGCTCTCAGCAATAACTAACAATGTTGGCTATGTTCTTCTTCCACTGTCAGAGGTGTTCTACCTCTGAATACTCAGCTTGCAGGCTTCCCATAGGCACCTGGTTTGCCGCTGTGAGAACACGATGCTGGACTAGATGGGCCTTTAGTGTGATCCAGCATCCAAGCTATTTTTATGTTGTTATGGTTTTCACTCAAGCTTTCTTCATGTCCTCAATCTAATTGTGGGGAAACCTTTTTGCATTGCTATTGCTAAATCACTGGGCATCAGAAACACTTGCCTCAAGATCTACCAGTGCATCCAACTATACCTTCTGCCTACTCCTGTATTAGAGGAAGTCTTTCCCAACTAGATAGTTCATCAAGAGTCTAGGTTCACAGAACTATAGAATTGTAGAATTGGAAGCGACCCCAGGGGTCATCTAGCCCAGCCCCTTGCAATGCAGGAATCTTTTGCCCAAGGTGGAGCTCGGACCCACAACCCTGAAATTAAGAGTCTACCAACTGATTGACTACATCACACAAAGAGAAATCTAGGAAGCTGGACCTTCCCACAGCTAATAATTGCAACAATGTTGAACTGGGGTGCAGAAAGTACAGTGGTACCTCGGGTTAAGAACTTAATTCGTTCCGGAGGTCCGTTCTTAACCTGAAACTGTTCTTAACCTGAAGCACCACTTTAGCTGCCGCCGCGCAATTTCTGTTCTCATCCTGAAGCAAAGTTCTTAACCTGAGGTACTATTTCTGCGTTAGCAGAGTCTGTAACCTAAAGCGTATGTAACCTGAGGTACCACTGTACTTTAATTTTAAGGTGTCAGGATCAAAATTCTGATTACAAAGCTGGTTTTAAGCTTGGAACAAAAAAGAGAGGCATCTGTAGAGCTAGCTTTTTATATTACCTCATCTCATTTTCAATCTATTACAATCACAGAAGAAGGAAAATGCCCAATTCTATTCAATAATCCCATTAGTGAAGACTCAGATGGAGAGTTCTCAGAGCGAAGCGGAAAGGGAGGAAAAAAATACATCGCTTGCATTTATATTCTTGTTCTTTAAAAATATGTGGCGTGGCAGCAATGAAGTTTCCTTAATTGAGCAGCCTATAATTACAGTAATTTTAGTGTTTCAATCTCGCCACATAAAGGAGCTGAGGGAAGGGAATAGAAACTGGTGGGCATCAGCTTGCTTTGGGGGGAAAGAATTTAATATCTTTGCTGCCGGCGGAAAAAAAACTTGTTGGGGGGAGTAGAGGGATGAAAGAGAAAATTAGGTAATTAAATTGCAAGTCCACCTTGTTTACAATGTTTTATAATCCTCTTGGCGCTCTATCATCAGTTGAAGCAGCTATGTGAAATTTAGAGGATGCAAATCAGGACAGAAAATTGCCACAACCCGGGAAACAGCTTCGACTGACCAGCTGAACTATGTGAGGGTAGCCGATGGGAACATCCCCTGCATGCGAAGACAGGCTCTGGCAGATTGAGTCAACAAGACCAATAGTGGGCCCAGTGGTCAAGAAGGTGGTTTCTGCAGGAGCTGTAGAGGTAAGCGAGGAGCAGTTGGGGCTCATCAACCTGGAAAGGTAGCCCACCTAGGAAAAGGAAAACTCTGATCCAAAACCTCCACTGCCTTGCAAGATATATTCAGAAGAAGAAAAGGCTAAGGAGTAAACCCTACACAAATCCACGGTGGAGTCCCTAAGACTGTTGGAGGGCACTTTCTATGCCTCCTTCCAGCAGCTCCTGCAGCCAAGCTGGTGCCAAACAAATTGCTCTGCTTTCCTTTGGACCACATCAGCGAGGCCAAGGAGAGGGGAGGGTTGTCATCTGGGCAGCCCAGGACCTCCATACACACTGCCCAGGCTAGCGCCGTGAGAGGTAACTTTGGTGCTACCAATGCAGCAGTCTGACTTTACTCTCAGAGGCGCACTCCTTTGTCTCTCAAGATAGATGGATGCCAACAACAACATAATTGCAAGAATGTATCATATAGAACCTTCAGGTACCAACATACCATATTGCCAGGGGTTGCCAACATGGTGCCCCTCTGGGGACAATTCCTACCATCCCTGACCATTGGCTATGCTGGCTGCGGCTGATGAGAGCTGGAGTCCAGAGCAACATCCAGAGGGCACCACACCTGGAACCTGGGTCCACCCTACATCCATTACTTCTTGATTTCCAATACCAGCCGCGTACTGTATAGCCAAAGTTGCCATCTTAAAATTCTACACCAGCTCAGAAGCTTAGCTTTTCTTATGTGGAAAGCAGGCCCATCACTTTTTCTCCATTCGAGAGCATGGAGCAATGACCCATCGATTTGAACTTCTGCCCACCTCCCATTAGCAGTCCTGACCATTATGGGTCATGGTTCCTCTTTCCATCCTGCCTCTTTGGGGCAGGAATTCAAATCATTCTCTCCCCTACCTGAAAACTTCTTTTAAACTATTGCAAGAAGGTGGGTCTTTGTGTTCTTCACTCCAGCCTCTCCTCCTACTGGGCAAGCAACTTTCATCTCTTCACTTGTTATTCCAACCCCTGGAACTTGCCCCTGACATTGCGACGAATGTGTTTTTCTCTAGCACAAGGACGATGTACCTTTTGCCCTCCATATGTTATTGGACACATCAGCCCCAGCCAAGCATGGTCAGGGATGATGGGAGTCGTAGCCCATCAGGATCACAGGTTGCCCATCCCTGCCCTAGCTTCTCTAGCCACCCTACCTCTTTGCTAGCCAGAATCTCTTGCCGCCCTTCATCTCCCATATAAAGAAGAGGAAGAGAAGGTGGCTGTGTTGTGTTTTAACTGTGCCCCCATCACATTTTATTTCTGGAGATCTGAACTGAGTGGGTGGTATATCTATATATTATGTTCTCATCTTAAATCCATTTCACTCCCCTGTCTCAATTTTATTCTGGATTCTGATAGAAAGCGGGGAGGAACTCATTCTTACCCCCATGACTGGAATCCTACTTTTCAAGAGTGATTTTTTCCTACTTTCCCCTCACTCCATTTTAAATACTTTTTTTTAAGGGTATGAGATAGTCTCTCTTGACACACACTCCTCTTAAAAATCCACTCCACCTTCACCCACACACACTTTTTTGAGGGACCACCTGGTGTATCCCCCCGCGCCCCCCCACCACTTAAAACACAAACCGTATCTCTGTTTTCCTGAATGGGTATTTCCCCCTTTTCCCCACACCCCGTTTATCTTTCACGATTACTGTTTCAAGGGAAGGAGGCTGTCTTTCTCCCGGCCTCTTTCAGAGCTCCACGGGGGGGCATGAGGTAGAAGGACCATTTTCCTCATCATTCCCCATTTTCTTTTGGGACTTTATGGAAAGTGGGGGGGTCGTCCTGCTCTTTTCTCCTCCCCCGTGGGGGCTCTACTTCGCCTCCCTCTCTTTTTTATTTTTTGAGCAGCCTTTTATTTTTCTCATTCCAAACCCCCACCCCAAAATTTGGGATATTTCAAGGCGAGGTGTCCTCTTTTCCATCCACTTTTAAAACTCTGAGACGAAGGCACTCTCCCCTCTCCTCATCCAGCCTCCACCCACAGAAAGGGAGTTTAATTTTTTATTTATAAAAACTTCAGCCCTGAACAATAAAAAGAGCCAACAGCTGCCCCCTCGCCTCCTATTCCGCCCCTAAGTCCACCCCGATAACAGAATGGTCTCTCCTACGACCCTCCTGCGAGCATTTCTCGGAGATTCGGGCTGTACCATTAGAACCAAACAGGGGAGGGGAAGGGGGGGGAGAACGAGAGTTGCACTCACAGCTTCACCACATTCTGTACCACCGCCGCCATCTTCCCCTCTGCCGCCTGGGGCCGCGGAGTACTTAAGTGCGCATGCACCACCGGCCGTTCGAGCTCACCAGGGCGACTTCCATAAGCATCTCACTCAGTTCCACGGCATGGCGCATGCGCCCCGCTACCACCATCTTTGGCGCATGCGTAATTTAAAAAAAAAACCTGAATCCTCCCACGCTCTTCCCGCCGGCCCTGCTGTCAAATATCATGAAGGCGCACGCGTAGAGAAGACAAGAAAGACTTGCTAGTGACGCCACTCACGGTGACTATTTATCTATATTGCGCAGGCGCAACGGGAAAATCTTCCCTCATAGGGGAAATAAATTTCGCGGTCAAAGAGTCAGCAGCCGAGGACGCATGCGTGAATCTGGAAAGATTTGGCGGGAAAACCATGTTGGTTGACGAGGGAACTAAAATAAGCAATTCGACTAAAATGCAAGATAGTGGCTGTCTTGGGCCAGATATTAATCTGTACAAGTACATTTAATGTTTTGTTCATATCGTATTTATAAAATTTCTTTACTGCCTTTCATCAGAGGATTACAGCGTGATATATTTAAAATACATAAACTCATAAATACATAACATAGCAACAAACAAAAACAATAAACCCCACCTTGGTATAAGGGTCAATTTGTTAAAATGTTGTGTTGATGCGTTAACGCTTGTTAATAATATTTTAAAAGAGAGAGAGAGACATGTTGACCAGGATTCCTTTATTAATAAGGTATTTATTTAATAATATTTCAGTCTGCAAAACAGTCCCCTACAACTTCATAAACACATAACAGAACAGGGGGGGGGGGAAGGGTTGGATCAAGCTCAAGTTCACATCCACACAATACAGGGCTTATTACAAACGATCCAGGGAACTTGAAGCCGCTAAGGGACTGGGAAGTGTGGCTCTATGAGGGGGAAACTACGGTTACCAATTTTTTTTAGAGGAAACTAGGGGCTTTGAATGTGCCTGCAACATTGCAATATGTGAGGCAATCCTGCCACAGCTTGCAGAAGCCTTCTTTGCAGAAACTTGAGGGAAGGGTCTTTTTGGTGATGGCACCCATGCTATGGAATCACTTCACTGAAAACAGGCAAGTGCCAATGGTGATGTGTTTCCTCCGCTTGCTGAAAACTTTTTTAGTCATGAAGGCCTTTGAGGCCCATTAGTACCCATTGTTGCATGTTTAGTTGCATTATTAGTTTACTTCAGGGATAGCCAACATGGTGCCCTCCATATATTTTTGGACTACACCTCCCAGCAACCCCAGCAACCATGGATGGTGGTCAGGGATGGTGGGAGCTGTTGTCCATCAATATTTGGGGGCACCATGTTGGCTACCTCCGTTTTACTGCATTGATTTTAATGAGTGTATTTTAGATAGCTGTAAATTGTCTTGATATTTTGGAATGTTTACCCTTTTCCCCAGGCTTTAGAATGACTAGGATGAAAACAGAAGCTTTTTGCTGCTGTTATTGGGGGTTGCAGTTTTTATGAACGGCATGTGTTTTTGTGTAAATGTGATTTTATTATGATGCATTTTTACGTGTACTTCTGCTGTTAAATATGTTGCAAGTCTCTGAGAGATCTTGGGTTGTATTCAATGTTAGTCATACTTGGAGTAGATCCACGGCAATCAAGGGATTTCAGTTAGTCATGCCCCTTAATTTCAAAAGGATACAATCCCTTTCGTGTAACAAGCAACTAATAATAATAATAAATTAATAAATAATATTGTTTATCTGCTAACTAAAGGAAAGGCCTAAGCACTCAGAAAGGAAACAAAGTGCATAATCTAGCACTTAATGTTTCCTGAGACATGTCTGTTGGGTAAAAACAACATTCTTTTGGTACGAGTGGATTCCTCCAGTAGGGATATATTTCGTGCCATGGGCTTTCTGCTGGCCAGCTGCATCTAGACACTTTCTTGGCATATTTCATAGGAAAAGAATGAGAAATCAACATTCTCCCCTCCTCTGACATTCTGCTTTGTTTTTCTTATAAACTTCCTTTAGACATAATCAAGCCGTTGTCACTGCAAATAACTTAATAGCCCTGCTAGGAAAGCTTCATCTAGTCCCAGCCCCTTGTCTCCAGTTCAAATTTGGAGGTAGACTGGTTCTGAACTGGAGGTTCCATTCAGCTATTAGGTCCAATAATTGCTGCCAGATCTACTATTAATTTATCTATATGGGTGGGGAACCTCAGGCCTGGGGGCCAAATGTGACTGTCCAGGTCTCTATATCTGGTTCTCAAAACTCTCCCCAGAGTTGGGCCCTGCCCAACACCCTTATTTATTGTTTTTGATGGCTGGAATGAGCCCTTGGACTCTGATAATGCTTCTTGCTTGACTGGATAGAGGACAGAGAGGGGTGTGTGGGTGTAGAAACTAGCCTACTGCACAAAGGTGGACGTTAACATTCATTGCTCTGCCCTCTTATGCCTCTTTTGCCAGCATGTGGCTGCCAGGAAGTTGCCCAGAGAGAAATGAAGCCTCAGGACTGAAAAAGAAAACTTCCCCCATATGCTTCCAATATGCATTTTCAATTAATGCGCATGAGCCCAGTTGCCAGCAAGTAAAAGGTCTTAATAGGCACAGTGGTCTGGCACTTTCGTCTTGAGCAGACACATCTGGGATCAAGCTGTAGAAAAACAAACATCTAGAGATGAGCAAAGAAATGAAGGAAGTTGCCAGTGATGAAACAGATGCAGCTGGGACATCTCGGCTGTGGAACTCTCCTTGTAACTGCCCCTTTCCAGCAATAATCTTGCAAAACTTTAGCGGGCCAAAACGCGAGGGATAAGATTCAAAAGGGACTAGATCCCCAGCTGATGGGAGTTGTAGTCCAACAACACCAGGAGGGAGCCAGACTGGTGAATGCTGCTCTGGAGCTTACTGGATAAAGTCACTTCACCCCCAAGTGATCCCAAGAGAGGCTTGACAGGTCTCACAGCTTAATCTGAAGTTTCAGGATTTTAGCATCAGGGTCTTAAGGAAAAGGAGTGACATCTCAGGATACTGGCCTAGAATAGGAATGGGGAACCTGATTTCTGTCCCTCCAGATGTGGTCAGACTCCCTCATCCCTGATTGCTACCTATTCTGACCCAGGAGAAAACCTATTACTTGTTCCAACCCCATGGGCTGTAAAAGTTTCCATGGCCCTGGACTGGATGACCTCCCTTCCAACTTTCTGTCATCCCACACAACTCACCCGTTCCTGCTGACCCTTGCTCCACCCCATGAAGCAACATCTCTCACCACCACCCCCATCGCGTGTGTATGGACACAGTTTCTTCTTTCGCAACAGCTTGGGGGGTTGGAAATTGTGCTTTTGCATTTTGAGAAAGTTAAAGGACACCGCAGGCAGGCACTGCTGATTTTGCAAGGGAATGCAGAAAGAGAGAGAGAGGAGTAAGGGCCGGAAGGGAGGGGCACTGAGACAGGGCCACGGGGTTGCCAAGGAGTCAGAACCAAACAAAGGAAGCCCTAGCAAGCTGCTGGGAGAACATCTGAACCCGGGACAAGGGCCTGGTCCACAACTCTGCCAATGAGTCACTCCTGCCCCTGGACAGTGGGGAAAGAGGAAGGAAGAGGGTGAGAAGATGCAAGGGAAAGAAGAGTCACTTGCAAACTGGACTTCTTCCAAAGGAAGTACTGAAAGGCTCAGGAGGATGGCTTCAACTCAAGTCTTTCCATCTTGGAGCAGAACCCTTTCCACAAGGACTTTCCCTTTCCCAGATGGGACCATATACACATATATGTGTGTCTGGGAAGGGGAACACCTTGCATATTGCAAAGAACTCAGGGGCACCCTTGGGCGCAGTGTTGAAGAGCAAGGCTGGGGAACATCAGGCTTGGGAGCTGGATGTGGTCCCCCAGGCTTGCCTGTATGCATAGGAGAAAACTCCTTGGGGGATGAGGTCCCTTTGCACCCCCAAAATAAAGTATTTCAGGGGGCCGGGGGGCCAAAATTAATGGGCATTGCCATTCAAATAGTGTGTGTGCACCACATCAACTGATCGATTGTATTCGTTCCGGAGGTCTGTTCTTAACCTGAAACTGTTCTTAACTTGTAGCACCACTTTAGCTAATGGGGCCTCCTGCTGCCGCCACGTCGCCAAAGCACGATTTCTGTTCTCATCCTGAAGCAAAGTTCTTAACCCGAGGTACTATTTCTGGGTTAGCGGAGTCTGTAACCTGAAGCGTATGTAACCTGAATCGTATGTAACCCGAGGTACCACTGTACCGCCTTCTCCACCTGGTTCTTGCTTAACTCAGGATGCTTAACAAGCATTTGGCTGACAGCTGTGAGAGCAAGATGCTGGACCACATGGACTGTTGCCTTGGACCAGCTGGGCTTTTCTAATAGTCTTATTGAGAGCCAGTGTGGTGTAGTGGTTAAGAGCGGTAGTCACGTAATCTGGGTAACCGGGTTCGCGTCTCCACTCCTCCACATGCAGCTGCTGGGTGACCTTGGGCCAGTCATACTTCTTTGAAGTCTCTCAGCCCCACTCACCTCACAGAGTGTTTGTTGTGGGGGAGGAAGGGAAAGGAGAATGTTAGCCGCTTTGAGACTCCTTAAAGGGAGTGAAAGGCGGGATATCAAATCCAAACTCTTCTTCTTCTTCTTCTTCTTATTCCTGGGATTGAAGTTGGGGCCTTCTGCATGCAAGGTAGGTGTTCTGCCAGAGTGATCCACTAATCTACTAGGGAAGTGGTAGAAGATGAACACAAGCTGTTGTTTTAGGCTAGGTTGAACAATTGGTCCATTGCAATCCAGTGTTTGGCTGCCCTAGTTGCTCTCCAGGATATTGGAGACAAAAGGGGCCTTTCAAGAAACTTCATTCACCATTAGGGATGGGCAAACCTATCAATTTCGGTTTCTCTCTGTTTCTCATTTTTCCAACCTTAACTTTAGTTCTCCACATCCATTTGTGACCCCCCCCCCCCAGTCCTCATGAAATTTAATCAGCACTGTTGCGCAAATTTCTGCTTACATGAATTTTTGTTTGCAATTTTCAGCAATAAACACATTTTTGCAAAGCAATTTCCCCACGCACAATACATTATTATGTCGTTTTCACTGAGATATGCATTTATGTGCACACTTTAGGATATGCATTTGTGCACACGTTACTGGGGCGGGAGAGTCACATTGCAAAATTCAGAACTGTGCAAATTTTGAAGGATGGCTTCATTTCTGACCAAGTTAGGTAAATCAACCATCAAAAGCAAAATGAATCAAATTTATCTGCCGTATTCCTTCATCAGTGCTAAAGAGTCCCCTGTCTGTACCCATTCTCCTGCTACTGCAAAAACCCTCAATTTACTGCTTTCAGAGACTATACTGAGAAACTGGAGGAGGCGAGGAGAATGGAAGGTCCGTGGTTCACCTCGGGTTCAAATCCATTTGTGCGCTTGACTTTGGTGAGGGGGAAACCCATGGCAACGAAGGCACTGGTCCGTCATGACTGCTTTGCCATCTCCATGGCCACGGAGACCATAGAAGGGTTACGGAAAGGGAGAGAGGGAGAAAGCAACAGATGCTGCCTGGTTGTAACAGGCTGGCTTTTGCACACAAGGCAGTCTTGCTGGTTCCAGAAATTTACCTCCCATTTGTTCTCGCGAACAATCGGCTTGCAGGCCGTTTGGGGGGGGGGACAAACAAAAAGCTTGCAAAAAGGGAATCGGAAAGCGTGAGAGGCAGTAATTTTGCAAAAAGAAAAAGAGAAAAGGTGGGGGCTTCACCCTGGGAGCTGGAGAGAGGGGTGTGGATATAATGAATAGAATCAAAGCTGCAAAGAGCTTCTGTCTCCAGTCTCCTCCAGTTAGAGAACATTCTGCTTTCAGGGTAAAAAACAAAACACTACACTTGGGTTATATTTGGCAAACAAGCCATGTTTGCAGTGTTTCCATCACCACCAAGGCACACACATTGCTTCACTTCTTCAAAACCCAATTTTTCTGTGAACACCACCCCCTCAACACACACACACACACACACAGAGAGAGAGAGAGAGAGAGTGTCAAATAATCCACAATGGGCTTTCGTACTATTTTAAAATAAGTTTAATATCAGTTGCAGGGGAGCCCAAATCTGATCAGCACTGCAGTGCTGGCAGAGGAGGCGTTAACTCTCATCCCTGTGGCGATTTTCTCCCACATATGGGTACCTTTTTCATTAAAGCTGCAAAGAGCTACCTCAAGAGAGCCATTTGCAATGGGAAATTGAAGTTCCCCAAACCCCAGAATTGTGCTTCCAAAGGGTTTCTCCCTCCCACTGTAAAACTCAAAAAAACCAACCAACCTGGATCTCCCATAGCACATCCTAAAGCCCATCTAGTCCAGCATCCTGCTCTCACAGTGGCCAACCAAATACTGGTGGGAAGCTGCCAAGCAGGACCTGAGTGAATGCAGTAGAATCCCTACTTGTGATTCATAGAATTGGAGAGTTGGAAGGGACCACGGGGGTCATCTAGTCCAACCCCCTGCTATGCAAGAATCTTTTGCCCAATTCCCAACTAGATATTCAGAAGCACACTGGAGATATCCAAAAGCACACAGCCATTGTGGCTAGAAGCCATAGATCTCATGATGAATTGGTCCAGTCCTCCTAAGTTACTCGTGATGGTCACCATCACTGTCTCCTGTGGGAGTGAGTTCCATAGCTTAACTATGCACTGCATAAAGAAGTACCATCTTTTGTCTGTCCTGAATCCTCCAATATTCATTGGAAAGCAGCCACTAAGCACACATGTACTTATTAGCTTTACCCATCAGCCTTGCCTCTCCCCTGTGGATAGCTCAGTTGTCATGGGTAAAATCAGGGTAATGGGTTCAAGCTCCACATTGGGTGAAAGATTCCTGCATTGCAGGGGGTTGGTCTGGATGACCCTTGTGGTCCCTTCCAGCTCTAGTTCTAGGATTCCCTCCTCCTTTCATGCTGTTTGTCTCCCCAGCACCACCACCACCACCAACATCCATCTGCTTCCTTCTTTTTAACAGTTCATACACAGCACAGATGGGGAACCTTATTTCAGCCTGAGGGCCACATTCCCTTCTGGGCAGCCTTCCAGGGGCCACGTGCTCAAGGTGTGCAGGGCCAGAAGCAAAAGTGGCCAGAGCAACTAATCGAAACGTTACCTTTGCAGTTTCTACACCATGTTCTCTGGCTAGGCAAGCAGGAAGCATCATCAGTGTTCGAAGACACACTTCAGTCAAGCAAAAACAGAGGAAATGTGTGAAGCAGCACCAGTCCTAGGAAGGCCCTGAGGGCCAGACAGAGAACTCTGAGGGCCACATTTGGCCCCTGGGCCCAAAGCTCCCCGCCCCTCCCTGATATAAGTTGCTGGTGCTGTATCATAAATAGCTTTGGGGGACATAAAAATAAAGATTCGCAATATTCGAATTCAGGGCCCCTTTTGAATTTGTTTAAATCCAACACAGCTTTCTAGTGAATTTTGGAGAACCCAAAGTGAAACGCCACAGATTGGAGTATCCATTCTTGGGACAAACCCAGTACGCATCTGGCAGGGAGTCAGTCCTCAAGGAAGCCATGCTATCAAGTAGAGATTTTTAAACTTGGCTTAAGGCCAAAGATGCTCCAAAGAAGCTGCAACAGCAGTCTCTGCCCAAAAGTCACTTGGGACGCAGAAAATGGCTTTCTTGGCGAAGCCTGCCCCTATTCGAGAGTCACCTTTTGTCATGTGCCGGGGGACTGACAACATCCTAGCATCCTGACGGGGTCCCCTTGCGAAGCGGCCTTTTGCAGCGACAGATGGGCCGGATGAGAAACGGCTGCCAAACAGCCAGTTGCCTGGGGACAATGCCAGGCCACGGTTTGTTAGTTTAACAAGCCTCTATTTATTCTTCCCCTGAAGATGCTGAAATGGGGCTTTGTCTGCTTTGCTGGACAGCCGACTACAGAAGCGGCCAGGATGGTGCAGGAAAAACCAAGCACAGGAACGGCCAAAAGAGGAGAGCCGCAGCCACGAGGCAACCCTCTCTTCTGAACAATATAACCATATACTGTAACAGGAGTCCAGGAAGCTGCCTTATACCATTGGTCCATCTCACTATTATCCACACTGACAAGCAGTAACTTTCTTGAAGTTCAGGCGATGGTCTCTCTCCTGTCCTACCTGGAGATGCCAGGGATTGATTGAACCAAGGATCTTTTGCTTGCAGAGTATGTGCTCTGCCACTGACCTGCAGCCATTCTGCTAAAAAGAAAGTAAGATTCCAGTCCTCATGGTTCTGAATAAAGCGTGGATTCCAATGGCAACATAGGGAGCTGTCTTCTCCTGAATCAAAACATGGGTTTAACTAGCTCACTGACGGGCAGTGGCTCCCGGCAGCTTCAAGCAGAGGTCCTTCCCATGTCTACCTGGAGATGCCAGGTGTTGATCCTGGGATCTCCTGCATGCAAAACAGGTGCTCCACAGCTAAACCACAGTCCTCTCTATGCTGTTGGCTGCTGAGTCACCACCAAGGAGTGGTGCCCTGTAAATAAACCAATTTAACATCCCATCTTTCTGCCATCAGAGAAGGAGAAACACACACAGGGAAAATGGAAATAGCATTAACTATGGACTAAGGTTCAGATCTTGGCGTTTCTAGTTAAAAGGATCAGGTAGCAAGTGATGGGAAAGGCACCTTCTCTGCTTAGGACCCTGCCATCAATCAGAGCAGATGATCCTGATCTAGATAAATAGTGTGATGTGTTATAAGGCAGCTCCCTAAACTGCACCAGCCACAGCCAACCTGTATGACTCAGAGTCTTTTCCCATGAAATTCCAGCACAGGAATGCCTCCCTTAACTATTCATTAACATGGCCATATTACCAGCTTAAGAACTTAAATGAAATATCCTGACTCCTGTTTACATTCCAGCGCTAGAAACATGGCTTCCTCCTCCCTCCAGCACTCTCTGATGACTGCTCAGAGCGCCGTGCCGCCCTTCCCATCAATGCACAGCGCAACATCGTCCCCGCCACTCCTGCTACAAAGAATGTACAACAACACACACCTCTTCACTGTTGAGGTTTTCTTCCCCAACCCATCAATTAACCATCAGCTTTTCAGGATCCACACCCATAACATTTGTTCACATTTGTTCACGAGGGTAACTTAACAGATGCTTATTAATTTATTGCTTTGCTTCCAATACAAGTTTCAGTAGAAGGGTGTGTTTGTGTAGAGCCTGCCAAGAGCATACAAGACAGGGACCCATCTCAGCTTTTGTCGAAACGGAGTGTTGCATTGTAAGGAGTGAAGCCTGCATTCTGCAAGATGCTCTTTGAAAGCTGGGAGGAATTATATTACTAGTGAAGCTGCACCAAAGGATCTCACACAGGTGTTTGCGCACATCCTTGCCTGCACACGCACCCCCAGTCACCCAATTTAACAGCAAAACACTCTCTTATGTACAAAAAGGCTGCGCTTTCAAAGTCACAGGTCCCCCTCCGCCGGCCGCCTTTCTCATTACGTCAGGATTTCCTGTCTGCCGGAATCCTGCAACGGAGCACCCACATCTGCCGTTTGGTGCTTCTCCATCACCTGCAGGACGTCGTCCAAAATCGACGGGCCCAAGTCCACGTGAAGGGAGAGCAGGGAGCCTGCGTGGGACATGAAAGCCTTGTCTTTGTTTTCTTCCCCTGAGAACCCATTCACAGGGGCCGGGCACTTGCCGTTGGCGGCGCCAAGGGGTTCCGAAGTCCTAGCAGATACAGCGCAGGAAGGACTCAGCACAAGGTCATTCGTCTGGTGAGCGGCTTGGGCTTTGTCGTCGAGGTGCAGGCGCGGCGGTTTGGGCGGGGGTGGAGCAGAAGGCAGGGTCAGCGCCTGCAAGCCACCGATGACCGGCAGGGAGATGGCGTTTTTGAGGAGAGGGGAGGGGATGTCCGAAGGCGGCGGATCGTAACCCGAGATGGTAGCGGTCCTCGAGAACTCGAACGGCACCATGTACTGGCTGGTGCCACCTGGACTCACGTTGCCCTCTGTCCTGGGCAGGAGGTGGAACTTCCCTTGGAGAAATGAGATGTCACCAAACATGTCGTTCTCCCCACCGCTGCCGATATGAATTGTGTGCCGGAAGTCCCCTAGCGGTGGGCTGATCATGTCTGAAGAGAGGATGTCTCGCAGTTTCTCCTTCTTGCCCCTCCTGCTTCCTCTTTTCAGGTAGATGGGCACTTTGGTGGTGGACATCTTTGTCGACTGCTGTAAAGGAGGGGAGGGGGGAAGAAGAAGGGCCGTTCAGTGCTGGCGCTTCAGATTCAAAACAATCATCATCAAGTCAAAACCAGGCCGCTTAAAAGCTGAAGAGTCCTTGCAAGACAGGAGGTTATCAGCCACAATGGGATCGGCTTTCAGTTGGGCATGAGCCACTAACAAGTTACCTAGAGGTAAGTTGATACTGCTGGCAGGAAGTGACCTTACGAAGGATTCCCTGGCAGCCGTGCACCTGAGAAGTTCGCCAACGCAGAGGCCGAGCCACGGGAGATTCCAACAGAACTTCAAGAAGTCAATACAAGGGGGAAACCCCAGAGCCACCTCAGGCTGGATAAATTCCTTCCTTCATAACCAGAATCTGTCTGCAGTTCTGTTAAAAGAAGAAAAGAGTGATTGAAATTAAGTTAAGAATTCTGTTTTAACAATCATCCAATTGGAATTTCAGCCCAACCATAGAGGGAAGGACTACAGCTCAAGGGTAGAGCATCTATTTTGCATGCAGAAGGTCCCAGGTTCAATCCCTGATGGGGAATCCTATTCACCCAGAAGACCACATTCCCTTCTGAGAACCCTATTTCTGTGGTGGGCGGGGCTAGAAGCAAAAGTGGGCGGAGCAATGAGCACACATTTTACCTTTGTACAGGAGGCTAGTTTCTACACCATGTGTTGGGAATCTTTGGACCTCCGGGTGTTGCTGAGCTACAATTCCCATCAGCCACCGCAAGCATGGCCAATGGCTAAGGATGATGGGAGTTGTAGTTTAGCAGTTTCTGTAGGGCTGAAGGTTCCCCACACACATTCTACACTCAACCCCTCTCTATCCTCCCTCCAGGCAAACATTATCTGACTACATTTAGGCCAAGCAAAAACACGGCTGGTGAGGAGCACGGCCGGGGAAGAGTCCCGAGGGCCAGATAGGGAGGCTTGGAGGGCCACATCTATTCTCTAGGCCTGCGGTTCCTCATCCCTGAACTAAGAGCTCTCTTTGCTCACCACATAAGGGCCAAATCTGGAACCTGTGTTGTTTGGGATTGGAAGCATTTCTTGCTGCCTTGGGCCCATCAAGGTCATCTCCCTCTCCTTCCCAGAATGCCTTCAGGAAGGGCTGGCGTGACCAGGCAGCAGACGCTTCCTATTCATCTGACCCCCTCCCCAGGCATAGAGTGAGGAAAAGGAGCAGCAATGTCCCCTGAAGAGCCTGGCTGCTGGATCAGACCGAAGGCCAACAACAACAACAACAACAATAATAATAATAATAATATACACCATTAGTCACCAGGCCTTTGCCTGATTATACCCCTTTTAGATGTTTGTGGAAGGAGGTCCATCATCCCATTCTAACAGTCGCCAGCCAGCTGCCCATTGGGAGCCCCACTGCACAGGACTTGAGGGCCAACAGCGCTCTCCCAGTTTTGAATTCCCCGTAACTGATATTCAGAGCAATACTTTTGCTGCTCATTTTAAAACAGATTTTCTCTTCACTGTGTTTGTTCAGCTTTTCGAGCACCACTTAGAGGCAGAGGTGGCAATTAAGCAGCATACAACGGTACCTCGGGTTAAGTACTTAATTCATTCCGGAGGTCCGTTCTTAACCTGAAACTGTTCTTAACCTGAAGCACCACTTGAGCTAATGGGGGCCTCCTGCTGCCGCCGCGCCACCAGAGCACGATTTCTGTTCTCATCCTGAAGCAAAGTTCTTAACCTGAAGCACTATTTCTGAGTTAGCAGAGTCTGTAACCTGAAGCGTATGTAACCTGAGGTACCACTGTACCTGTTTTTGAAATAAATAACAACTAAAACGGCTGATCCCAGCGCCATTTGGCAGGGCCTCTGCTCCCCGAGGCATTAAAAAGCAAGGACACCCCAGTCCATGTGGCCTGGCCGGGTCTGAACAAGCGAGAGCGTTCTGCGGCCGTCTCGAAACAGGTGGCTGCTCTGTCAGGGGTGGGCTGATGGATAAAGCGGCCTTTTGTCTGAGCGCCTGGCAGGGCGCTGGTGCACACCAAAGCCTCAAGAGCATTGGCTCGGCGCACTGCTGACAGAGCAGGTTATCACGAGCAACTGTTTAATGGACGAGCCAGGAAGGGAAGGATTTAAAAGGGGAAACGGGCCTCATTTGCAACAACCGCAGAAAAGCAATCCAGGCAGCTTTCTCTCTCTCTCTCTCTCTCTCTCTCTCTCTCTCTTTGCAAGCGGAGGGTACACAACAGAGAACAATACGCCAGCGGCTGAAAGAAGCTGGGCCCACAGCTCCGATGCGCTGCTTTGGACAATCGCCACTTGTTCTCTTGCCCCGCCAAATGCCACACACAAACAGCCATGACTCTGGGCTCAAAAGCACTGCTGCGGAGGTCACCAACCCAGAAAAAGCAGCACAGCTTGAAGCAACAGACTACAAGGCCTATCAGCCCCAATCAGCAACTGTCAAGAATGATGGGAGATGTAGACCAACAGCATCCGAGGGGCACCAGGTTGGGAAAGGCCAGTGCAGGGCTTGGTATCAAGCGATTTTCTACATACCTCGGGCTTCATCTGCATCATAGATTTAAAGCTACCACTTGAAACAGCCATGGCTTCTGCCAAAGAACCTTGGGAACTGTAGTTTGTTGAAGATGCCGAGAGTTGGTAGGAGACTCCCCTTGCAGAGCTACAATTCCCAGAGTCCCCTGTGAAGAGGGATTGTTAAGCCACTCTGGGAATTGTAGCTCTCTGAGGGGAATAGGGGGCCTCCTAAGAACTCGCAACTCCCTTGACAAACTGGAACTCCCCGGATTCTCTGAGGAGAAAGTCCTGAGTAGTTTTTTTTTGAGGGGGGGGCTTTGTGGGGGGAAAGCCATGGTTCATCTTTAAATGTATAGTGCAGATGGGGCCTAGGCCAGGCAGGGGATGTGAACATCCACCTTTAAAAAGCCAAAAATATCCAGGGACTAACAAGGCTTCCCATTTATCCCTCCCCCGCCTGATTAAAATTTTGCAAACCCACAAAAAGAGTGTATGGGGAATTTGAAAGAAATTTCTAAAGGGTCCCCTGCCTGAGCAACCGACCCCAAGTTCTTCCAAGATTCCACTAGGTGGCTGTGTAAGTCCAGGTAAGTCACATTTCTCAAAGGAGCAACTCTGGCTCCTCTCAAGATCAACCACAAACCACCAACCAATTCTTTAAACCAGAGATAAGGAACCTGTGACTCTCCCAATGCTGTTCGGCTTCCAACTTCCTTGATCTTTGCCCATGTTGTCAAGGACGGATGGGAACATAGACCATGAGACAAGGAACAAATTCCAGTTCACGTTTGTCCCTTTAGAAAATGAACCATTTCAGGTTTACAGTTCAATTCAAGTTCATCCCGATCGTCCTCAGCAATTTTCTCCCTGGCATTCATAATGCTACAAGTTGCTGAGCTAAAGTGTAAAATGGACTGAAGACTAAGGAAACGTCCGTGTAGCGGAAATGTGAATCGTTTCACTTATTTTATTTATTTATTGTCAACAGTTATGCCCTTTCAGCTTAAAGGCTCACAAGAGACTAAAACCTGGAAAAACACAATAAGAGAATGAACGTGAACTAGAAACTGTCCCAAGTTCTACTGCAAAAAAAAAAGAAAAAAAGAACTTAATTCATGTTTAGTTCACCTGGCAATTATGGGAACTTTCAGGTGTAGTTCAGAGATTTTTTTTGAACAAATTCAGCAAACTTCATTAGACCAAACTGGTTCATTCCAAGCACCGAGTACACCTATATCCCACCCTCGTCTCCAAAGACATCAGGGCAGGGTACTGGCTAACTTATCTGCCTCTTATCTTTGCAACAACCATAGATGAGGCTGAAAGAGACAGGGCAATTTGAACCTGGGTCTTCCAAATCCTATTCAGACACACTCTAACCCCCAGGCCACACTGGTTTGCAATCAGCTTAACTGGCACTGCTTCCTAAGATTCTCTGTGCAAACTGAATCCCTATCAAGTTGCAGTTCTCTGACCAAAGACTAACTTCTGATTAGACATGCACAAGATTGGGACATTGAACCGTTATTAAGATGGTGGTGCAGTCGTGGCTTCCCATTCCAAGCTACTTGGGCACTGCACTCACCGCGGGTGTTGCTTCCAGGTGGCGTTCAATCGTATACCACCAAATTTAGGTTGAACAAGTCAATTTAGAGCTCTTGTACAACCAACACACTGTCCATCCCCACACCACAGAAATCCAACTTTTTGCAGAGAAAATGCATCAGAAAGTGCGGGATTAACCCTTGCTTGATGAAACATCTAACCTTCCCACAAATCTGAACGAATGCTCAGCAAACAAGCCGCACGCCATCTAACCTTCCTGCAAACCGATCAGGGTGAATGTTCCACATTTTCACCCATAAGGAAATGTACTTTCATTCTTTGTAACCTTTTGCCTCCCCGCATCCTTCCCTCCTTTGGTTCTCTCCCCATCAATGAATTTTAGATTGTGATATCAGCCAATCTAAAATTGCCCATGGCACAACAGATAACAGCAATAATCAGGAGAAAGAAAGACATAACATCTTGCAAGGACAGGAAGAAATACCAAGGACAATATAATTGTCACCCACAAGAAGAACAAGGATACAGTTTGAGTTCCTCACTTGAAGTTTTATAAATCATTTAATGTGTCAACACGAATAGAAGTTATTAATATTGCAGTGGTTGAATAAGGGATTATTATGGCCGGAATGTAATGAAATCTAATAAGACTTTGGAACGCAGAAATAAAGAAAAAGATCAAATCTAGAATGTGGGGGCCCTCACTCTAGCTAAATTATATAATTCACTAATTGAATGATTGGTATTAATAATTGTATTATAAATTGGTATTGTTATAATGAGGCTATTATTGGGCTGTAATTGAAAACTAATAAAAAATTATTACAAAAAATAATATTGGAACGGGGTGCCAAATTGAATAAAATATTGGGGGGGGGAGGTAAACTGCACACTACATAATCGATTGCATGACGCAGTGCACAGACACCATTTTAATGGCAACACTCATCAACTTATGGGGAGGGAAAAGGGACCTCAACCCCTAGGAGTTAGCTCCTATGGATTGGAAGCAGCTCAGGGCAGGGACCTCGCCTTTGCTGCTTATGTTACAGTGAGCTGTGCACCAATTAATGGTGCTGAATAAACGCAGCACAAAGGAAGCGAGAGCAGGTGGCAACAGCAGCAGCAACAAAGGCCTGCAAGTGATCATGAAAGCACTTTTCGAGCAGTTTGAAGATGCACCTCGAGGTGTCAGAGCAGCTGCACAGAGGCAGAACAAGAATGAGATGGGCAGACACCTGCTATGGGGTTGTTTTAGCCTGGAGAAATGGCGGCCTGATATTCTTCAAAGACCAGAAAGGC